AGCAGAAAGCCGACACACCTTCCGGCGCAGACTGAAAACTCATCTCTTTCGATTCCACTTCGAGGAATACAATTACTAACAAAGCACTTATATACTAATAAAGGACTGGCTTATCTAAAGCCAGTTGAGTAGCACTTGAAATGTTTTGGCTATATGAAACCTGATGTACTTATATGATTCTGTTTTCTTCAAGTTTGTATCTTCTTGGTCGAATGCACTTATTGTAAGTCGCTTCGGATAAAAGCGTCAGCTAAATGCAATGTAATGTAATGTAATGTAATCTAAATGCCCTGTCCATAATCCAGACATGCAAATTGTTTGAGTGTAAAACTGTGTTTTTCCCTATCTGTTTATACTCTAAAGATTCTTTAAATTATTATGGATTAATTAATTACTAATCCCTTTTGTACTTCTGATCAAAATTATTTATGTGTAATGCTTTAAATATACAAACATGTGTTAAATGTAATAGAGTGGCGAAGTCACGCCCATCTACTTCCGGTCCATGGGACCTTAATTCGGAAAAATTATGTATTGAAGTCAATGGAGAGAGAAAACGTATCTTTCGATCCCGTTTGAATTGTGCCATGAATTACACATATGATGTTTGTCAATCTTAAAAAATAATTTCCATGTCAAAAAAGTCACATATTGTCGTAAAACTGTTGCAATATAAGACTATGAAAAATACGCAACTAGAAAGACTACAAATCCCAGAGTCGCGTAAGTGATGTCACTCATAACTGATGTCACTCATAACTGATGTCACAATTGTTTTCCTCCACTAAAATAGAGATAGCCAAGATAAGATAACTTTAACAAGATGCCTGTGTGCTTAGTACCAGATTGTTATCATACCAGCAATGGGTCTTGCTCGTTCTTTCGCTTCCCGTCTGATGAAAGGACCCTGGTTGCATTCGAATAGTCCATTTAGCTTAGGAACCTTCCTAACGGAGTGAAATGACCCGGAAGTCCCTCAGTGGCAGCCATGATAAGTGCCGTTCGAATTCTCTAAATTAAAAGGAAAGGAGGTTTCAAACTTCCTTTATAACCTCCTTTAGCCTAGGAACCACTGGACCTCCCTAACCGAAAGGAGAGGAGAAAATGCTGCCCCACAATGCCTTGCAGCCGCAGCATTTGCCGTCACACAACAGTCGGCCGTTCACGGAAACAACCGATTATGAACGAGAAATGATATCATGAAAGTTACGGTGCTTATTAAGCATTTTAAAACGTATGTGGTAAGTTGCCAAAGTGCTTTGTTTTGAACGTTCATCAGTATTATAATCAAAAAGAGAAATATGAACGTTAGTTTTTACTGAAATGATCAAATAAAGTCAACATTTCACAGTCTTTACTGAGCTGTGTGGGGTTTGTTCAACTTTTAAAAGATGTTTGAATGGTGATATACACAGTGATAGATGTTAAGGACTAACGTTTATAATAAATACATTTGTATTGATTTTAAGATCTTTTCATACAATCATATGTATTGGGATCATTTGTATTAATGTGGACCGGAGGGAGAGGATGACGAGCATAAGTTTCACTTTCCTTTTTTATTTCAATTTCAACTTTGGTCATGAAGAATATGTTTCTCTGTTGTCCCCGTTCATAAAGCATAAAACAACAGCATCAGAGCACGGTGCAGAGTCTCTAGATGAGTTTACAGTAGTCCCTCGTTCTTATTAAACATCCATGTTGTAGTCCGCTGTATAGAAAACTGTAGTTTCCATAGTTTCCCCACAGCAGCAGGCGCACATTTATGACCTCTGCTGGCGCATCATAAACACGTCGGATAGTGAAAGTGCAGTCGGATTCTCTAAAGTGCCGCAGTCTCTTCTCCTAAATCCTTTTGAATTCTCCTATCCACTATTCCTTAACCCCATGACGTTTCACTCCGAGGTCAAGGAATAGACGATAGGGTTAGAATTTAGGAGCTGTTTTTTTGGAGTATTCGAACGCAACCCAGGAGTGGCTGGATCAAATTAGCTACCTAGCTAGTAGCAAGCACGTTAGTTAGCATTACAGCCGGCTTAGCCTTGTCATTTGTATTAGCCTTAACATGAAGTAACATTAAGTAACCCAAAATGTTAAACAGTAAGAGTAGTAGTCATATTTCGTGAACCCTTTGAAGAGTACTGTCAGACCGGCGTGATCATTCTATAATACACCATTTAAGCCCGGGGGAGAAATGCTAACGCTAACGCTACATTAGCATCGACGATCTTTTCTACTTCATGCTATCTGCACAAATGGTTGACATTAAACATTAAAAAGATCAGACAGTTCAGAGAGAATCAAAGGAAGGCAGGCAGGCAGGCAGCTTTGCATGACATTCTTCTGGACGTGTTTCATTCATAGACTGTATAAATATTTCATTGTGGTGATAGTGAGGGTCGTCAATCACTTTTTTGACAAGACAGTAGTGACGGCCATCTTGGTGACGTGTGTTGTTGTGCAAGAGATGTAGTTCATAGAGCGTTTCACATAAAAAAAAATGTCTTACTTCACAGTTTTACGACACATTTTTTTTTTTTTGTCTTGCAAAATTATCTTTTAAATTGACAAACATCATATGTGTAATTCGCGGCACAATTCAACGGGATCGAAAGGTAATTACTAATCTTTCTCGATCCCGTTTCACTTGTGCCACGAATACATATATGATGTTTGTCAATCTTAAATAATCATTTCCAAAGACAAAAAAAAAAAATGTGTCGTAAAACTGTTGAAATATAAGACTATGAAAAATACGCAACTAGAAAGACTACAAATCCCAGAATCCCGGTCCCGCATGCTGGCTCTTACGGAACCGACTAACTCCCCTTGTGTGTATGTACAGCTCTCAACATGCCCAGACTTGGAGTGATTTTCACCTCGTTTAATACTTTTCGCCTCATTCTGAAAGAAAGAGGTGAAATGTGCCAACGTGACGGCCGTCTTGGTGTGTGGTGCGAGACGGGAGATGTAGTTCATTGAGCGGTTTCACACAAAAAAAAGTGTTACTTCACAGTTTTACGACACATTTTTATTTTTTTGACTTGTAAAATTATCTTTTAAATTGACAAACATCATATGTGTAATTCGTGCCCCGGAAGGGGAGGGACTTCGCCTCTCTATAGAGAGGCGAAGTCCATCCCCTTCCGGTTGAGTTCCATGGGACCTTATTTCGGAAAAGTTATGCATTGAAGTCAATGGAGAGAGAAAGATTATCTTTCGATCCCGTTTGAATTGTGCCACGAATTACACACAAAATGATTAATCGCGATTAACTATGGACAATCATGCGATTAATCGCGATTAAATATTTTAATCGACTGACAGCCCTAGATTCAACACGATGCAAAATAATGATACAATTCAATATGGTACGACAGAGGATTTTAGTTTTATTCCTTATATGCAGCAAATCATAAATTAACAAAAAAGTGCTTTACATATTTGGTTCTCTCTACTAGTACTGCGCATCCCATCATGCTGTTTCTTTTTTACCTTTTTTACCTTAAAAAAACTCTCCAGAGTACAGTACAATTGTATAACACCTCACAGCTAAACAATTTAAGGATGCATTGCCCAGGATTAACAATGTGCAAATAACAACTACCATAGTGCAATGCACATACAACTGCCAGCCTGATGTGCTTAACACTCATTCATAGGCTAACTCACCAGTGAGCAGAAAGCAGTGGTTTCTATATGAACAATAAAGAATACAAATAGCCTTTCACAAACAGGTATTTCATAACTGCTTACAATTGTAAGGAAGACATTTAAACTATTATTGGCAGTCACAGTCTGCTGTAAACTAAACACCACTCTCTCTGACCGAACACCTCACTGAGTGATTGAACTCATATGTCTAACTTTCAGGTTTTTCTTTTCAGCCACAGACCCCAAGTCGCCTCTTTATGTGTGTCGCTAAGTTCCTCGTACTACTTGTGTACTTTAAAGCGGCACGGCATCGTTTACAATTTGCGAGCGATTTTTCAAGTTGACCGTTTTTCTTGAAAAATCCGAAGTGTTGCCAAACGTTTGATTTGTAGGTATTTTTCGGTACGTTGTGTTTCTCTTTCTCCTCGACTTCCATGTGTGTTGATAACTGAGACTCTCAGCCTCCGTAGTGCGAAGCAAAGATCGTCTGAGTGCTGACAGGATGAGGGGATATTATATGAATGAATCGTTTTTTTAACGATGCAAAGACGCTACAATCGATGCATCGCGAGTTCAACCCAAACTGTAGCCGATGTGCACTCTTTCAACCGGTGCACTCGCATCTTGAACGTTTATGCCGGTGCACCGATGCGAATCGGTGAATCTTAACATCCCTAGTATTCACTCTCTGTCCTAAACGGCTTGTTGGAGCTCCTGCCCCCCCCCTCCCTATGAGCCCAGTGTGCTCTGATTGGTCAGCTTGCCCACTCTGTTCTGATGAGTCCACCACCGTTACAGCGGAACATCAGTGATTATGTGTTACAATGGCATTTGTTAGCAACCAGAAAATGACACCAGTAATGACAAACAGATGAGAATGCTGCGTGGGGTCTGGGTGCCGTGTTGGCGGGACGTTGCGGGGCTCGCTGCTGGAGCGGACAGTGTGAGCTGGATTACTGGGGTCGTTTCCTGGTTGCTGCATGGGGTCTGCGAGACAGCGAGACAACGCGAAACTCAGCCTGAGCACACACACAAACTCACAGCCAGGCTACGAGTGTGTGTGTGCTCAGGCTGAGTTCAGGCTGAGTTTCGCTGTGTCTCGCTGTCTCAGGCTGAGAAATCCGCAGAGCTGCGGCTGAGAAAAGATAAGGCTGAGTGAGTGTGTGTGTGTGTGAGGAAGTCCGCGGATTGGTCCATTACGTCACCTAGCCCCTTACGTCACTACGACCCCAGAAGAAAAAAATGGAAAAAGAAAAATCTCCAACGAGGCGTTCTGGGGCAGCATAGACAGGTCTTTTCTGTGTTAGAGTTTTACTCGCTACAGGGTGTACTTTGAGGGTTTGTGACTTTGCAGACCGTTTACATGCAGAAAAAGCTACATAACACACAAGGGGACGGGTAATAACCGGAAAAGCATGACATGGGACCTTTAAGATAACAATAAGCAACGATTCTTGACTCCAATACAATGACTCCAACTATAAAGGTGTCGGACACACATTTAAAACTGAGCATGTCAGTGGCACACAGTGACGGCCTGTTACCTGGCTGCCTTTTAGTTCATCCCTCATCACTAGACCAGTTAAAGACTGATGTACCCATTACTCAGTTAGACAGGAAACATGGGGAAAAGCTGTTTTCCAGGTTCTCTGAAGGGTGCTGTTCAGCTGTCATTACTATATTTAATCTATTCCTCAAATGACTCACAGCCCTCTGTACACACTAAGCTCCATAATCTCATCATGTGCTCACTTCATCCCTGTCCTTAAGAAATTAACTGAGGGGTAGTTTGTGGAGGTGCTGGGTTGGTATGACGATGTGCTGGGTCGCTATGACGATGTACTGGGTTGGTATGACGATGTATTAGTTTGGTATGTTGATGTGCTAGATTGATAACCTGTTACACTGCAATGAAAAAAGGTTTTCGAGCTCTAGTCCCTCCAATTTATAATTGTCCTTCCATTCAATTTAACATTTATTTTCGGTGTCGGTGCTGGTACTGGTGTTGGTGTCGGTGCTGGTACTGGTGTCGGTGCTGGTGTCTGTGCTGGGAATGGTGTCAGTGTTGGTACTAGTATCTGTGCTGGTACTCGTCTTGGTGCTGGTACTGGTGTCAGTGCAGAAGCAGCAACTAAAGAGACCAGTGGGTGCGTGCTCTTGTACTGCAGCAGGTACTCGGGGTAGATCTGGTTTGAATCGAACACAACAAAGATTGAAGGCTTGATTTCATCGTCGACGCAGCTGTCGTACAGGTTGATGACCCCCCCGTCTTTGGAAGGAGGTTTGCGGTAGCTGGAGCTCCCTCTGGTGTAGTCCCCCACCAGCACCCGCGACACGAACATGGATTTTACATGAGAGTCCTCGGTGTAGCTGTGGGAGTATTTTGCGTCCCGGGCAAAGTAACTGCCTACGATTGGACAGAGAAGAGAATCAAAATGTTAGTATCTTTATTAACTTTTTCTCAGAATTAAAAAGAAAATGTTATTTACGCGTGACCCTAATCCTCTTGTGTATACCGGTTTCTCTATATAATGATATTAAATGTACTACCAAACCAATGACAAAAACAAAAACAAAAACTAATGGACAGCTATAACAAGGGATATGGGGTAAAAAAGAGTCTGTGCCTTTAAATGTGTCTGCATGTTGACTGTGATGGTAGGATGTTAGGATAACCTACTGTAAGTTACACTCCCATCCTCTTAAGAGCAAACACTTTTTTATTTAATACAACTGCACGTTATGTTATCAAGTCAGGAATGATTAGTTCTTCATCTCACCTTGGCCAAAAGCAGTTCCATTAACTCCACACACTCTCCAGTCAAAGTTTTTGTGGCAGATGACGGCTACATATTCAGATTTAGTGCCATGAAAAAGCTTCTTTTCTGTCACATTGTGCCCGTTGTTGTTGTCCTTCATCTGTTTGTTCTTCCTTTATTAAAAAAACAAACAAGTTAGACTTTGAATTTAAATCTAGTTGATACATTGAGGAATGCATGCTAACGTAAAAAGCGAGACTGAGTAACGTTGGGGGTGTGGAAAGAATGTGCTATATGTGGACACAGGTCGTTACTCTTTGTACCACGAAACACAGAGGTTGCGGTCGAATAGTCCATTTAGCTTAGGAACCTTCCTAACGGAGTGAAATGACCCGGAAGTCCCTCAGTGGCAGCCATGATAAGTGCCGTTCAAATTCTCGAGATGAAAGGAAAGGAGGTTTCAAACTTCCTTTATAACCTCCTTTAGCTTAGGAACCACTGGACCTCCCTAACCGAAAGGAGAGAAAATGCTGCCCCACAATGCCTTGCAGCCGCAGCATTTGCCGTCACACAACAGTCGGCCGTTCACGGAAACAACCGATTATGACCGAGAAATGATATCATGAAAGTTACGGTGCTTATTAAGCATTTTAAAACGTATGTGGTAATAATAATAATAATAAATTTTATTTTTATAGCGCTTTTTCTAGAACCCAAAGACGCTTTACATTTGGGGAAGGGTAGACAGACAAGGACAGGCAATAAAACAACAACAAAACAAAAACAAAACAGAAAAACAAAAAACAAAACAGAAAAGCAGTCAGGAGGAAGTTGGTTGAGAGGAGGGGGGGTTTATGGGTATACAGACTTGAAGAGATGGGTTTTGAGGCGGGACTGGAACAGGGTTAGGGACTCAGACTCACGGAGGTCTTGGGGGAGGGAGTTCCAGAGCTTCGGGGCTGCCACAGAGAATGCTCTGTCCCCAAAGCTCCGGAGTTTGGCCTTGGGGATGGAAAGGTAAGTTGCCAAAGTGCTTTGTTTTGAACGTTCATCAGTATTATAATCAAAAAGAGAAATATGAACGTTAGTTTTTACTGAAATGATCAAATAAAGTCAACATTTCACAGTCTTTACTGAGCTGTGTGGGGTTTGTTCAACTTTTAAAAGATGTTTGAATGGTGATATACACAGTGATAGATGTTAAGGACTAACGTTTATAATAAATACATTTGTATTGATTTTAAGATCTTTTCATACAATCATACGTATTGGGATCATTTGTATTAATGTAGACCGGAGGGAGAGGGTGACGAGCATAAGTTTCACTTTCCTTTTTTATTTCAATTCCAACTTTGGTCATGAAGAATATGTTTCTCTGTTGTCCCCGTTCATAAAGCATAAAACAACAGCATCAGAGCACGGTGCAGAGTCTCTAGATGAGTTTACAGTAGTCCCTCGTTCTTATTAAACATCCATGTTGTAGTCCGCTGTATAGAAAACTGTAGTTTCCATAGTTTCCCCACCGCAGCAGACGCACATTTATGACCTCTGCTGGCGCATCATAAACACGTCGGATAGTGAAAGTGCAGTCGGATTCTCTAAAGTACCGCAGTCTCTTCTCCTAAATCCTTTTGAATTCTCCTATCGTCTATCCCTTAACCCCGTGACGTTTCACTCAGAGGTCAAGGGATAGACGATAGGGATAGACGTTAGGAGCTGATTTTTGGATTATTCGACTGCAACCAGAAAATCTGTTGTGGCAGCGGGGTGTGGTTGGAGCGCCGGATGCTGGAGTGATGGGAGTGGCTCAGCCGGAGACCAGACAGCTGATCAGAATCAGGTAATTAGGCTCTCAGTAAAAAGCATGCTGGTAACCTGGTTCTGGGCTCTTGCAGTAGACTGGGTCCTGAGAGGAGGACCGTGGGTGTTTCTCAATCTCGAGTACGCTTGCTTGGTAGCACATGTCTTCCGAGCGTCTTGCTTCAGAAACGAGGCAAGAATACTTCCTGGCATTCGGAAAACGAAGAGTGGAACAGGCGAGCAAGTGTGCAGGTGTGCGTCATATGAGAGGCCCCGCCTTACATTTTCCGCCACAGATTTGGGGAAATTGGTCCGTGCGCAAAGCATTGTGGGGATTTTAGGACCGCGGAGTATACACATGTGCAGCCTCGATATTTCTCCAAACGAAGTACGCCGGGCTCGGTAGAATTCCAAGTATGCTGGACATTGGAACAGTACTTCGGCGGCACTCGATGACGTAGTATGCTTGAAATAGTGGCTCTGGAGCAGCTTTACTCGAGATTGAGAAACACCCCGTCACTCTCCAAGCCACGTCCGGAAATAGAGGAGCAGACCGATGTTCCCTTTTGTGTTGACGCCCTCAGTTTGAAATAAACGTTGCTTGTTTTCCAAACCGACCTTTTTCATCCGTAATTTGTATCCCTATCGTGAGCTGGAACGCTCACATCTGTCTTTATTTCTTTATAATGCCTGGCTTTAACAACCAGAGAGCACATACAAAGATAAACCCAGCTATCACACACACAATCACACAGCTGGATAATAAGTTCAGATGCCAAACACAAATCTTCTCAAATCATATACGTACAACTGAAAGGCTTCCCAAAGAGCTTTGTTCTGAATCCTTTCTATTTTCACGATGTCAAAGCCTCTCATGGTGTTACAGAAGAGGGTTTCAATCTCCAAATATTCGTCTGAGGTGCGATGGAGGGAGACTGTCTGTAAACACAAAGGGAAAATAAATGATTATTACCTATGGCAAAAATGTGCATAGACCAGTATAGACCAGTATAGTAGGAGCTATCTTGATGGGCAATACAAAAATGTAAATGTCAAATTTACTCCGGATCCTAATAAATAGCTAAGCCTATCAGTGTCTCAACCCTTTTTGTTCTCTTTCTTGCCTCGTCATTTTTATGGGTCTTCTCGTTTATAACATCCAAAATGAGGGTCCTACCTTTGCTTGCACGTTTCAGTATTTTACCGTGAAATGTTTTGTTACCACCAGTGGCGACTGGTCATTAGGGGCAGGCACAGCCCCACCTAGTGTCAGCAGAAAGTCAGCAGAAAGTATCACAAATAATGATTACAAATAATGCAAAAAAAAAATTAAAAAAAATATAAAATATATTTTAAGATCATGTTTAATCATCTGATTCGTCTGTACCAGCGACGTGCAGTCAGTGGAGGCAGAGCCTCACCTGTCAAAGTCCAATGTAACGGAAAAACAATTAAAGAAAAACTAAATAATAATAATAATAAAATGTCTCCACTGATCTTGTGTAAATGTGATTTCTGTATGATTCCAATCGCTTTTTATAGTCAAAATCAGCAAATTTGCCGAGATCCGCTACGGGAGCGATGAGAAGTGAGGCAGGGACGAGCTCTGCCTAACGTAAGCCCACAGTAACTTGCTGGAGCGCGGGCACTAATTTAGCGCGGCCACTTATTTTGTGAGCGCGCTCAAGCCATTTACTGTGGGGTAAGGTGAGGCACAGATGAGCTCTGCCTCACTTCAGAATGCGTCACCCCACAGAAACTGGCTGGAAAGCGGGCACTAAGCGCATGCCTGTTACCATCTCACTGTAGGTCACCAATGTAATGTTTGTAGATCCGTTTATTACATTTATCCTCGCCATCCATAGTCTCTAAATAACTTATTTCACGTATATATGATATTTAGGCTCGCTGGTCTCATCGTACAACGGCAATGAAAAAAGCACCAGGAGAGGCAGCCATAACCTCTGCCGCACTGAAGGGCGCGCACGTGAGCCCACAGGTTCTTGTTGCTACTGTTATTCTACGCAGAGACGGTAGACGCAAACAACAAACTAGACTTTTGAAACTAGAGGAAGATAAGGAGGACTTTTACAAAACAGTAATAGAGATTGTTGTCCAGAAGGATAGCATGGACTTCATCTTCAAGTCAAGGTAAGACCACAACTGTAATGAAAATGGGATCTTACTAAGAAGAACAATCTAATATTTAGATTTTGGGTATCCTTTTGTTGAACGGTCTGTTAAATTAATCGAAGCATCAGACTAAAAAAGCTTTTGAAAATAACAGAATATTTCGATTAAGGTCAAAATATAATATTTGTAAATCTGACTCTGAAAGAGTCAGTGCCTCACCAGCCATGAACCTCACCACACGTCACTGGTCTGTACATTGCTGTTTTAGTCTGTGTTCTTCTAATTAGTGTCTACAGTGTGTGCCTATTGAGCCGTTTAGAGCCATGTGGGACAAAACCTGATCATGCCCCTCCCTCTCACTGTCTAAGTGAACGGTGACTGTAAAAACTACACTGCGCATGCTCAGAGTATTTTCCTATTTAATGTGTGTGGCAACAAAAATAATGACCATAGGGGCACTGAGCTGCCATCCCCACCATACGTCATCTCACATAATTCAGAGCTGATTGGCTGTAAGTATGTGTGCCGCGAAAAGTGTGGTGTGTGAAGAGGAGACGAGAGAGCTGCAGTGACGCGTCCTAAAACCCGGAAGTAAGCTGCGCATGGCTTCCCTCCACAAAAAACCAATGAGATTTCTCCATAGGATTTTAGAAAATAGCTCGAAATAAGATCTGTGGGAAACGTACCTGTTAGATAAATGCACGTTTTGTTCAGCCGGATAATATCCACATGTCTACCCTACTTTTATAATTTTTTAATCATAAATCTATCGATTAGATTTATGATAGACTTTTGAAACTACAAGAACATAAGGAGGACTTTTACAAAAAAGTAATAGACATTTTTGTCCAGAAGGATAGGCAAATGGACTTCATCTTCAAGTCAAGGTAAGACCGCAATTTTATTGAAAATGGGATCTTACTAAGAGAGAACAATTCAATATTTAAATGATAAAATTACATTTTTTGGGTATCCTTTTGTTGAACTGTCTGTTTAAAATCAATCGAAGCATCAGACAAAAAAAGCTTTTGAAAATAATATTATATTTTGGTTTAGGTCAAAATATAATATTTGTAAACCTGAAGAGTCAGTGCCAGTGCCTCACCAGCCATGAACCTCACTGCACGTCACTGCAGAAGCTTATATATAGACATCTAAGTTTTTTGTGCCCCACCACTTTTGTACATATAAAAACGCCACTGGTTACCACCCGTGTATATCTTAAGAGGCTCTATCATGCTTTTTGGGGTTTTCTTTTTCGTGTAGTGTGTAGCGCTCCAACACATTAGGAGTCCTCAGGTATGAGTTGGGATGTCCTCGTTCACTCCAGCGTCATCATAAACAACGCCCTTTACTTCTGGTGCGCGCAGTTTTATCACCTGTCACTGGACTTCACTCCACATAAATCCCTTCAAACCTGGGATTTAGTTTCACATTGAAATGATTTCGTCCATCTCTTCTATCCATCTCTTTTATTATAGTATTCTATGTATTACTTTCGGTCCTGTATTTGTTTTTCCAGGTATAAAATGTCATTTAAAGTTATAAAAGCAATCATAACAATAATAATAATTGATGGATTCATTTCATTTTTATTTGTTCCATTCATGGTATGCAAAACTTAATGTATAATAATTGTTAACCCTTAGATGCCCGAGTGACTGGACCCTACACTCTTCCATAAGTGGGTCAAAAAGGACCCGTATTAGAATAATATGTGTTTTTATGCCATTTTTGTCATTTTGGTTAAGAAAAAAATCTCTTGTATAATTATATTTTGGTTCACACTAGAAATATTTTATATTTAATTTTTCACTATTTATAATTTTAGACGTTTTTTTTACATTTTGAAAAAAAAACTAAATTCCATAGAAAATGCATGCGGGTCATTTTTTACCCACTTATGGAAGCTTGGGGTAGTAATACAAAAACTACAATTTCTTAAAATGTAAATAAAAAATTTGAATGGCATGATATCCAAAACATGTTTTGAGGAATAGCTGGAATATGAAATGATAAAAAAATATAATTACAAAGATACTTCAAGAATACCACCTCACCGGGTCAAAAAATACCCACTTATGGAAGCTTGGGGTAGTAATACAAAAACTACAATTTCTTAAAATTTAAATTTAAAATTTGAATGGCATGATATCCAAAACATGTTTTTTGAGGAATAGCTGGAATATAAAATGATAAAAACATGTAATTACAAAGATACTTCAAGAATACCACCTCACCGGGTCAAATAATACCAACTTATGCATCTAAGGGTTAACAAAACATGTCTCTGTAAACACACCATTGAGCGAAAAGGACCAGGGATAATTAGAGAGACACAAATCACTAATAGGATTAGTTAGGTATGCTACCCGTATTTGTATATATCCTTAATGTTTGACCTTCTGTTGGTTTTTATCCACACCTGCCTCAAAAACTGCAAGTAAGAACTGTTAGTTATTCTTTTATAATCAAAACATTATTATTGAATTTGTAAGTATATTTCACACACTTTAATGTTTTTATAGAGTATGATCTCCTCATTCGTTTAAGAGATTTATATATTTTACTCTTATTGAAGCACTTTAAACATTTAACTAGAGAATGCAATTCCTGAAGAAATTGCTAGTGGGAATGCTTTATGCTGAAAAGCTGACGCTAAACTGCTATGCTGAAATGTAATGTGTAAGAAGAAAGTGAAGAATTTAGATTGAAATGATACATGAACACTGGGGGCTTGAATGTGTGATGAGAGAAGAAAAGAAAGTAAAAAGGCTTGGAAAAGCAGCAGAATATTTGAACTGCAAACTTTTGAACTAACTTGATGGCGAATGATCTGTCGCCATGCCAACGGCATTTGATGACATCCCATAATGCGCTTAGATGCGTTGATGGCTGCATCGTTACCAAACCTGTGAAGTTTTGGGCCGTTTGGAGCATTTTCACTGAAGTTATGAGAAAACCGCCACCGTTTTATGGCGAGGGATGCGTTTCCATGGAAACGGCATATGGTGAGATGTCAGATTTGACGTAGAGCTGTTGAGGCATGGAGAGGTGATATACAGGTGAAGATTGTGGGACGACCGGACCGTGTCCATTGGAGCTACAGCGACATCGTGTTTTATGGCGAGGGATGCGTTTCCATGGAAACGGCATATGATGACACCCCATAATTGACGTAGAGCTGTGTTAACCATTATCTGAAGTCTGAGCAGAGGCTGTGCAGCTGGGGGCGGAGCTTTGATGCGCGAGTAGTGAAAACACCTCCGCGTAGTCTACACTCATGTATCCTCCCTCTTGTCTCCTCTGGAAGCCTTCTCCCTCCTCTCTCCTCGACTCCTCCGTGTGCATTTAAGCGATTGGGACGTCCTTCAACATGGCGTGTCCCGGTCGATTTCTGGGTCAAGTCACCAAGGAGAGAGGAGAGAGGAGTCGAGGAGGGACATTGGGATGAACCTATTGTATGTGGTAGGCTAAGGGGCGGGACATCTCTAAGCGGTTGACCAATCACAACAGAGCCGGCCAGCTAACCAATCAGAGCAGACTGGGCTCTGGTTTCAGACAGAGGGTGAAAAGAGGTGCTGCAGCACAGGCAGTATGAGAAAAAATAAAGAGCTTTTTGAACATTAAAGCATGGAGACATGTAGAGACACTAAATACTGATATGAAAATTAAAGCATGGAGACATGTCCCAGTAGAGACACTAAATATTGATATAAACCTGAACATCAGCAGGAGAGGACTCTTTAAAGTAGAGACACTACATACTGATATACACCTGAACATCTGCAGGAGAGGACTCTTTAAAGTAGAGACACTACATACTGATATACACCTGAACATCAGCAGGAGAGGACTCTTTAAAGTAGAGACACTACATACTGATATACACCTGAACATCAGCAGGAGAGGACTCTTTAAAGTAGAGACACTACATACTGATATACACCTGAACATCAGCAGGAGAGGACTCTTTAAAGTAGAGACACCACTACATACTAGGGGTGTAACGGTATACGTATTCGGACCGAAAATATTCGGTATGAGCCCTTCGGTTCGGTACACGTGTACCGAACGAATATAACGTTAAATGTAAACAATGGAGAACGTGAACAACTTTTTGGAAGTAATCTCAGGTGCTGCGTCGCAGCATTCGGTATAATTTTCTCACATTGGGTTCATCGCATCATAGAGCGACCAAGTCATTTCATTGGACGAGAGGCATACTATGAGAGCTGGTCACAGGGATGCGTTCAAATTTAGTCAGTAATTTGAGGAACTAGCGAAATGGCGAACGCAGACAAAGTTGAGCTCGAAAATCCTCCAGCATCATTGAAGTCTCTGAACATTTTGGTTTCGCAGTTACGTACAAGGATGACGGACAAAGACAGGTCGACCGAACCAAAGCTGTTTGTCGGCATTGTTTAACTAAAATTGGTTACGCGGCTGGCAATACATCAAACTTGCACACTCATTTGAAAAGGCATCACCCGAACGTGAATATCACCGGTACCAAAAGAAAAATGACTAAAGTGCAAACCCAACTCCCACTAGCATTTAAGCCTCCACCACTCAAAAAAAGTTCAGACCGAGCCAAAGCTATTACAAACGCCAAATATCCTTATGTTGCCATGTTAGCAAAGCGCAACCTGGCTGTATCTGCTACCTTTGTCCCTAGCGAGAGGGTGTTCTCCACAGCAGGAGACATTGTTAGTGCCAGCAGATCTGCCTTTTCGGCAAGCAATGTGGACGAGTTAATTTTTCTTAAAAAAAACATGAAAATACAATGACAAGCAAGCAAGTCCTAATGTCATGCTTAGGGGATTACTAGTACAGTACAGATTATTTCAGTTCATCGAAATGCTGCACCTTAATGTTTATTTTATTATATTTTGTATTTATTTGAGTGAATATTCACAGTTTAATAATAATTAAAAAACCAAAACAAATAGTTTAAGTTTTGTGAGTACTAGTACAGTAAAGTTCAAATACAGATTATTTCAGTTCATCGAAATGCTGCACCTTAATGTTTATTTTATTATATTTTGTATTTATTTGAGTGAATACATTATTTACAATTTAATAATAATTAAAAAACCCCAACAAATATTTTAAGTTTTGTGATAATTTTTCTGCTGTACCGAAAACGTACCGAACCGTGACCTAAAAACCGAGGTACGTACCGAACCGAAATGTTTGTGAACCGTTACACCCCTACTACATACTGATATACACCTGAACATGAGCATGATATGGCCTCTTTAATTCCAACACTAACAGGAAGCAGTTTGTCCACCAGAGGGAGCTGTTTCAGGTGTGGTTCATGTCAGCTGATTTTTCAGCGGGGGCACGTTGGACGGGACCTGTGGCTCTGCAGGGGGGGGGGGGCTTCACATCAGTCCCACTAGGGCTGCTTGATTATGGAAATAATCACAATCCATTTTATTTTGGTCTTTGTAAAAGGTGATAGTACACCAAAGAAATTACAGCCACAAAGCAAGGTAAACAAAATGGGGGTCTATAAAGGCTTTATCATACAGAACTGTGAAATAATAAGTGATTGGCCAGGACGCATCCCTTGGGCATGCAGCATGAAACTTACCAAAATACGATTTCATCTGAGTAACCAGACTGGCTTTTTCTGACTTCTGTTTTGTTGCTGTCTTGGAAGCTTGCTATTTCTAGTGTGATTCGAATTAAACAAGGTGTAACCTGGGGATCTATGTGTCTAAAGGTTTGAAATGAAATGTGTATGAAAGTATTCTTTATGGCCAGTCACCATTGCCTGTAGTACCTGTAGTATTAGATATGCATGTGTAAGTAACTAGAAATAAACTTGTTGGTGTTTTTGTGTCCTTGCATCTCAGATCCTTACCCTTCAAAGACCTGTGACCTACAAGGAGAACTTTTCATATTATTTGATATAGTCCAATATGATTGATGTTGCTGAACATTATGAATACCTTGTATCCTGTTTGAGAAATCTGTGTCTTGTCCCAGTGATCCGGTAAAGTGCCTGATTGAGCGAGAGGCCTTCTGTTGTTATAAAGCAAAGAAGAATAAGGGTTAGTTTCATCTTATGGTGGTTTGAATAACAATGTTCCATAAGTTGGTCCAACATATTTTAGTTTGGATAACGCACCTTGTGTTCTTTGCCCTAACATCAGCTGCAGAGACGAACCGGGGCCGTCTTTTCACAACCCTCTTTGTGCCGTACTGCTTGTTTGTTTGGATCAAGTCTGAGGAACAGTAAAACGATTATTGTACTGCTTTAAAGGTGGGGTAGGTAATTTTGGAGAAACCAGCTCGAGTGCGCTAGAATTTGAAAATACACAGCCGGAAAAAATCTGCCACTTCCTTACAGAGTCCAACACAAACGCGCACATGACCAATGAGGGCACGAGATAAGTTTGTGCACAGATGGAAGGCTGACAGGCAGGTAGGCCATCCAGTTGTTTTAGCCGGGCCGGCTAAAATGACTGGTCGTGCTTTTTACAGTACTGCAGCTTCCACAGATGACGGTTTTTTATGGATTTTTTGTCAAAGCACTTAAGATATTCATTGCTATCGGGATGTTAAGAGCATTCCATGGAATATAACAAAAAGTGTATCTCGAGCCGGTTTCTCAAACTTACCTACCCCAACTTTAATGTATGAAAATTCAAAAAACTCCATTGCACAATATTTGTTTACCCTGGAAACTGAGGGAGTATGGCTGTGAGCCAGCGCTGAACTCCACCACATCTTTGGCGTTGTCCAGAAACTTCTGCTCCAGCTCAGCGCTGCCAGTGTCTGCTGCGCTGTGCCCACCAGACTGAAACACAGAACAGTCCATTCCTCACAACTCTGCTGAAGGGGTAGGTGACCAATCAGGAGCCAGATGGTATGGTATGCAAAGAAGCTACTGCCTAATCGCCAACAACAATTGATCAAATATATACTGTCAACGTGAATATCAGTCAAATTACATTATGAGGTGCAATGGGGGGAGGGAGATAAGGGTGTTTATAAAGAACAGTGTGGGAACATCACTTGTTTGCGTTTTCTCTAAGAATTAAATGACACCAATTTCATGGTTGCTTGCCAACTATAAAAGGTAGTACCAGCAGCCAGTTAGCTTAGCTTAGCATGAGAAGTAGAAACCTTTGATGTATTACACGCAAGGGCCAACCTCAGGGTGTAAAAAGTGAAGCAAATGTTGAAATCTGTGTTGATGAACAGAACCAATCTAATATAAAGTCCAACGACTGTACTTCCTGTCTCCGTGTCAACTCTCTAACCGGAGTGCTGTTTTGGATAAAGCGGCTCCAGCACAAACATCACAACACACATAAGATTCCCCAATATTGGTCCTTCGAGCCGGAGAGCTTCACCCACGACAGCGCCATGGATGCACAGGAAACAGCAGCAGCTACGATTGGAGCTCATGGAGGAAGACAGCGACAGCTTCCAACACACCTGCAAGGCTATAAGGTCAGTTTACCACAGTCTCTCTTGCCTAATCCTACCCCCCTCCAATATGACAGTGCGCGACAGCTGCGGTCACTGCAAACCGGGTTCTGCCAGGAGCAGCAAATAAGGCACATTTGTGGGACATGGCACCATATGCTAGCAGCATGCCTGACCTGCAGAATATGTGTGTGATGCCTCGACTGCCATCTCCCTCAGAGCAGAGCTGCCACAGTCACCAATTGTCAGAATACAGCCTCAGTGAGAACGGATCTGGCCCCCTCTCGTCACATCCACTTCCAACCCACTCACACTGGTTGGACTCACAAGCAGATAACCGCATCTTACAGCAGCAGCCGTTATCCATCCAGCTGGGACAAGCCACCAAGCATCAGGATAAGCTGCCAACGACAACACTGCTGTGGACGACTACAGCGACATTCCAGTCTCAAGCCCTCCCAGCCTTCATGCCGAGTCAGAAGCAGGAGAGAAGCATATTAACTCAGTCTCTACCACCAACAGTCACATCTGCACGGTTGTTGGGAGCTGTTTCTAAGCCAACAGCACTTCTGGCTAGAAGCACGGTTATGTCGTCACCTATCGTCCAAGGGATGCAGGCAGCCGGTCACGTTGGCCAACAACTGCCGACAACTACAAGGTACCAGCCTGCTCACCAGCCATACCAGCCTGTGCCTCCTCCTGTGGCAACCATGTATGGCAGCATGCAGGCGGCCACACAAATCCCATATCAGTCTATGACGACGACATCCGCAGCAAATCAATATGTTCCGGCTGCACCACTTACTCAGTGACCATGTACCGTACCGTGTTCTCAACAACTAGTTCTGGATGAGGCCCAGCTAATAGCCCAGTCCTGCAGGCATTACGCCCAGCCTTACACGGCCGCCATGCAGGCCTTACAGCGGCAATATGGACAGCCACACCAGCTCGTACAAAGCGAGATCGCAACTATACTGAACTCTCCTGACATCAAAGCTGGAGATACCAAAGCATTCCAGAGCTTCGCGCTAAGCGTTGACCTATTAGTAGGTATGTTGACGTCGCTGGAGGGACCCAACGGGATGGAAGTGATGTCGACTGGCCATGTCGATCGGCTCCTTAGCAAGCTCCCTAAGCATTCAAGGGACGGCTTCGTGGAGCATCTACAGGTTCAAGGTCGCCTTAACACAAACAGCCTAAACCCGTACAACCTCCGCGACCTCTCCAACTGGGTAAGGGGGAAGGCCGAAGCTTAACGACTGTCCGAAAGGATGGCACAGCGCCATCGGAGTGAAGGTACACAGCCCCCTAAAAGAGACAATCAATTTCCTGCACCAAGGCCTCGCAACCATCAGGTCTCAGTTTACCATGGCTCTGACAAGTCTGAAGCTGAAAACTGTCATCCTTCAGAGACGACTCGGCCAGAGGCTAAGCAGCAGAAATTCAAGAGGATGTGTCTTTTCTGTAAGAGTGATGAGCATTACCTGTCACAGTGTTCAAACATCATCCAGTGCTCTCAGGAGAAGGTTGAAAAATGGATAGTAGAAGGCAAACGTTGTCGTAACTGCGGTCGCACCAACCACCAGCAAGAAGCTTGTAACTTAAAGAAAGCATGCAGTGAGTGCCAGGAAATACACCTCAGAGTTCTCCATTGTGTTACTAAGCCAAGTCCACGTGTCTACCTCATCACGCAAAAGAATCGTGCTGTGCTCTACAACTCCAAGCAAGGAGGGAAGGTCTACCTCAAGGTGGTGCCAGTCATCATCAGCCATGGGGACAAGTCTCTTGACACCTACGCGATCCTGGACGATGGAGCTGAACGAACGATGATACTGCCAGCTGCAGTTCAACAACTGGGACTCAAAGGTGAAGCTGAGTCTCTCTTTCTGCAGACCATCCGCAAAGATGTGGCCAGCCTCACTGGTGAGTCTGTTGACTTCCATGTGGCCTCTCTGACACAGCCTCTAAGCAGCATCTCATTACGGGTGCCTTTACAGCGGGTCAGATAGCCTTATCAGAGCAGTCCTACCCTGTGACAGCACTCCAGAAGCGTTATCACCACCTGAAGGGGCTTCTGCTGAAGAACTTTAGTAAGGTTCAGCCGCTACTGCTAATTGGCTCGGATTGCACCCACCTGATCACAGCCAGGGAGCCAGTCAGGGTCGGCCCCAAAGGTGGACTCACAGCCATCAATACAGCACTCGGCTGGGCACTTCAGGGTCCAGATGGGCTAACATCTCAGTCAACTTCATGCTACTTCACATCTGTCAAGCCAGCAGCAGATAACCTCAACCAACATGTTGAACGTCTCTGGCAGCTTGATGTACTCCCGTTCAAGAGTGAAGGCTAGTAGTACGGTCCCGATTTGACCAGGAAGCCGTGAGTATCCTGGAAGCCCGCACTGAGAGGGTGAAGGTGGGCGACACACTAAGGTATGCTACACCTCTTCCCCGCGTCAGGGACGCTCCACCCTTAATGGCCACTCCTGAAACAATTATGCCAATGCTTCGCAGCACCGAGCGCAGACTCATTAAAGATCCAGCTAAGGCCAAAGTTCACAAAGCAGAGATCCAAAAGCTCATCGATGGAGGGTGTGTGACCAAGCAGTTCCTTCACGGGGCGGCAACTGACCCTTCCTTGCCTCAGTCTGACCTGCGTGACACTGAAAGCCTCCTGTTGCAGCGCAGCCAAGCAGAATGCTTCCAAGAGGAGATTGAGTGTCTCAAGGCTGGCAAAACAGTAAAACCTGGCAGTAAGCTCAGTATGCTTTCACCGGAGATTGATCCTGCAATGGGTCTGATCCGCGTCGGCGGAAGATTTCGCCGCATGGAGACTTCCTGTGCTATGGAAGTTCACCCCATCGTTCTCGATCCCAGCCATGCAGTCACAAAACTCCTTATTAAGGACATGGACGAGCACTTGCTCCATCCAGGGCCCGACAGGGTCTTTGCTGAGACTAGGCGCCAGTACTGGGTCCTGCGTGGGAGACAGGCCGTCAAGCATCATCAGAGGACTTCCACTGGATGCAGGAAGTGGAAAGGGAAGCCAGTGATACCGATTATGGCCGACTTGCCTTCTGCCCGTCTGCGGCTCCTCAAGCCTCCATTCTTCTCTACTGGGGTCGACTGTTTTGGGCCATATACTGTCAAGGTAGGGCGGCGCAGTGAAAAACGGTGGGGAGTCATCTTTAAATGTCTCACCACTCGCTGTGTCCACCTAGATCTGCTTAATAGCATCGATGCAGATGCTTTCCTCTTGGCCTTGAGGCGATTCATCGCTCGGCGAGGCACCCCCTTCGAGATTCGCTCAGATCAGGGGACAAACTTCCAAGGAGCAGCTAGGGAGCTTGAGGAGGCGTTTGCTGGAATGATGCCCCAACTGCAAGAGGAACTTGCCAAGAAACAGATCAAGTTTCGCTTTAACCCTCCAGCATCTCCCCACTTTGGTGGTGCCTGGGAGCGCGAGATACAATCGGTAAAGAAGGCTCTACAAGTGGTGATCGGCACTCAGTCTCTCCAGGGAGAAGTCCTCCTCACCTTGTTAGTTGAGGTGGAAGGTATCTTAAATGCCAAACCCTTAGGCTATGTGTCATCAGACCTCGCAGATCCAGATCCTGTGACGCCAAGCATGTTGCTGATGGGGCGGCGGGATGCCTCCCTTCAACAAGTGTCATACGCTACAGACACCCTCAGCAAGAGGCGGTGGCGTCATTGTCAAATGATGGTTGACCACTTCTGGGTGCAGTTCATCAGAAGCTACTTGCCATCCCTTCAAGTCCGCCAGAAGTGGTGGCAGCACACTGATGGTCTTCTCCAAGGTACTGTCGTGATGATAGTTGATCCTCAGCTTCCACGTGCCCACTGGCCAGTGGGAAGGGTCGTCAAGCTGAATGCCAGTGCTGATGGATGCATCCGGTCGGCTGAGGTTCAAGTCGGGGACAAGACGTACCTGCGACCCGTGGCACGCCTTGTGCAGCTACCAGCTCTACCGGACGACGATGCTGATCCAGGGACTTCTGCTGCACCTTAGGGAATTTATTCTGTTGTACATAATAGCTATGCTATTCTGGGGGCGGCTGTTGTAAATTCCCCTTGTTTTCCTTGATCTGCGTTATATCGTTCGTGTTTTAGTCAGGCACATTAAGGGACAGCTAAAGTAGCGCAACTGCGGGTCCTCGAGCTGTTTGCACATGTGCGTTCATGACAGGACATTATTGCGGTCGCATCGTCACATGCATAATTACCATCGTCACAGAGAGAATGCGTTCGTGAAGAATAAAACATTCATTCTCTACTCTACGTTGTCATTATAATTATCATCATCCTCATCAAACCCATTCAATATCCTGTATGTGATTCCACATCAAACATGATGTATTCTGTGTTGATGATCAGAACCAATCTAATATAAAGTCCAACGACTGTACTTGCTGTCTCCGTGTCAACTCTCTAACCGGAGTGCTGTTTTGGATAAAGCGGCTCCAGCCAGTGTTAATTTTGGCAGCTGTTTTTGATTTAGTCTTAGTCTTAGTCTTTAGACGAAAATGGTTATTAGTTTTAGTCACATTTTAGTCATTTCTATCCTTCATAGTTTTAGTCTAGTTTTAGTCGACGAAAACTCAAAACGTTTTAGTCTAGTTTTAGTCGACGAAAACTCAAAACGTTTTAGTCTACTTTTAGTCGATGAAAAATTACATTTTAGTCAACTTTTAGTCAAAATGTTTTCTCTTTAAACCAATTCAGTTAGGCAAATACAGGTATCTGAAATTGTAATCAAGGTGACAGCATCAAGTGTTGAAATTCGTAAAGCAACATTTCACTCTCTTAACACTTTACTTGTGTAATATCTAGGGATGGGTATCGTTAAGGTTTTCTACGGTACTACTAGTCTTATCAATACTGCTTATCGATCCGGTACTTTAACGGTATTCTTGTATTTACTTTTTGTTATTTTTTAAAGGAAAAAACTAACAAATTGTTAACCGAATTAATTGCTTTATTTAAATGTGAAATAAATGAAATATATATATAATTATGTTAAAATATTGTACTGTACTTGAGTAAAATGTTGAGGTACTTGTACTTTACTGGAGTATTTAAATGTTTTGCTACTGTGTACTTCTACTCCACTACATGTATTTAATACCTTTAGTTACTTTACAGATGTGGATGAATGATGTGAAATATAATCAAGTGTTAACTCAGACTTTAGTAAATTCACAAGCTACCCTGCAGTATACAAAGTCCTTCAAACTAGCTGCACCTTTACTAGCTTTGAGAACACTTTAATGATCAATCATTATAAAACATATCATATATATTATTCTGAAATGGACCAATCTGCACAATGACTACTTTTACTGTTGCTACTTTAAATATATTTTGATGATCATACTTTGACTTGAGGAACTCTTCCTACACTATGGTATTTTTTTACTTAGCTACAATATCTGAGTACTTCTCCCACCTCTGCATACCTGATGTGATAACGTTACTCGTAATTGGGGCAACAGAGCTACGAGTTAAGGAAGTCAAAAATTGTGCATTTCTCCGACTGAATATGACGCCTTTTGGCCGGCTGTTTGGACAGACTACTCTACTCGTGTCAACGCGCTAACGCGAAAACATGGCAAACGAGCTTTGTCCACATCGAGCCTTGTAGTGTCTCTATACTCTCTGAACGCTCCGTCCCCGGCAGATCTGTGTGCCGCTGCAGCGTGTCTGTTAGGCCCCGCCCCCGCACACAGAGAGAGAGGGAGATCGCTCTTCTGGAGTGAAGAGAGCGGAAATAATGATATTGCAAGTTAGAAATGTAAGATGCATTTTGACAGACAAGACGGACACTTGGGGGGAAATACCCTGCATTTTGAATGTCCGATAGTCCACCATTAACACCTTAGTCCCGTCTCGTCTCGTCAACGAAAACTAAATATACATTTCGTCAAATTTTCGTTATCAAGAATCTATTTTTAGCTCGTCATCGTCTCGTCTTAGTCATGTAAAAAAGGTCGTTGACGAACATTTTTCGTCATAGTTTTCGTTGACGAAATTAACACTGGCTCCAGCACAAACATCACAACACACATAATATTCCCCAATACTAATAACACGTTATAAATGTAACCTTCAGAAACCTCAAATCCCTGTCTCCCTCAGCACTCTCAGCCTGCATTACCTGCAAGATGTCTGCCTCCCCCCCCCCCCCTGACAATCCATGTCAACTGGTGGACTACTACAACACCACCCTCTCCTCCTGTCTTAATAAACTGGCCCCCCAAAACTGTCTCTTTCACACATTCAGCTCCCTGGTACACCCCGAACTCCGCCAAATGAAATCACAAAAACGCCAACTGGAATGCCTTCACAAGAAAACCACTCAAACAGTTCATCTCTATGCCTACACCGACTAACTACATCAGTACAATAACACACTCAAAGCAGCCCGGTCCACCTACTACTCACAACTGATACACTCCGGCTCCAGCAAGGCTCTGTTCTCCACCATCAGCACACTCCTTAAACCCTGTGACAACGCCACCCCATCCTTCACAACCGCACAGTGCAATTCTTTCCTCTCGTTCTTTCAATCCAAAATCTACAGCATTTATAGAAACCTGACCTCCTCAGCAGCCCTCCCCATCTCCCCTCCTGGCTCCCCCCCTTCACCTCACAGCCCCTATCCTGGTTCTCCCCTGTGACCCCAATGCAACTGTCCACCCTCATGGCTGGAATGAACTCCACCTGCACTCTGGACCCCATACCAATACAATTTGTCAGGGAATGCCTCCCTCCCATCTCCCAACTCATAACCACAATCATTAACTCATATTAACTCCTCCCTCTGCTCTGGATCAGTCCCCCCCTCACTCAAACTGGCTGCTGTTACACCCATACTGAAAATACCTGAACTCACACCTGACATCATGTCCAACTTCCGGCCCATCTCGAATCTCCCCCAAAACTACTCTAACGTGTTGTAGCCTCCCAACTAAAATCCCACCTCAGCTCCAATAACCTGTTTGAACCCTTTCAATCAGGATTCCGCACAAAACATAGCACAGAAACAGCCCTCCTCAGAATCACTAACGACCTCCTCCTCTCCTCCGGCAACCTCAACATCCTCATCCTCCTCGACCTCACAGCAGCGTTCGACACCATCCTGCTGTCCCGCCTGGAATCCTCACTCAACATCACCGACACTGCACTCTCCTGGCGGAAATCCTACCTCACCAACAGACACAAGTTCATCCATATCAATAACTGCACTTCCTCCGCTGCTCCTCTGTCCCAAGGCGTCCCCCAGGGTTCGGTGCTTGGTCCCCTCCTCTTCATCCTCTATATGCTCCCCCTTGTAAAAATCATCCGCCACCACAACCTTCAGTATCGCTGCTACGCGGATGACATCCAACTCTACATCTCCACAAAAACCATCACTGCCACAACTCACTCTACACTCACCAACTGTCTCTCAGAAATTAAATCCTGGATGCAAACAAATTACCTTTAACTGAACAACGAGAAATCAGATATTATCTTAATCGGACCCACATCCCGCACCAACACCACCCAGAACTTCAACCTCACCCTCGTCAACGCCACTCCAACCCCCTCTCCTCACATTCGCAAGCTTGGAGTCATTTTTGACAGCCAGCTCAAATTCAATAAACACATAAACCATATCACCAGGAATGCCTTCTTCCACCTAAAAAACATTGCCCACCTCCGCCCTTCACTCTCCTTCCCGGCTGCTAAAACCCTCATCCACGCATTCATCACTTCAAGACTGGACTACTGCAACAGCATCCTGTATGGCTCATCATCCAACATTCTAAATCAACTGCAATATATCCAGAACTGCGCTGCCCGCCTCCTCACCCAAACCCGCTCCAGAGACCACATCACCCCCGTCCTTCAAAACCTGCACTGGCTCTCTGTCCGTCAACGAATACACTTCAAAATCCTTCTGCTAACACACAAAGTTCTCAACAACCAGGACCCCCCTACCTCACCGACCTGATCCACCACCACACCCCTTCCCGCAGCCTTCGCTCATCAGAAGCCAACCTCCTTTCTATCCCCACACGAACCAAGCACCGAACCTGGGGGGACAGAGCCTTCTCCATCGCTGCCCCCACCCTCTGGAACTCCCTTCCACAACACATCAGAGACTGCACCGACCCCCCCCACCTTCAAAACACTGACCAAAATACACCTCTTCAGACTGGCTTTTAATTTGTGAATTATGTTGTGTTGCTGTTTTAATATTTTTATTGGAAAGGGTTGTTGTACGCTTGCAAAATGTCACTGAAATAGAGGTAAAGTGGCAATTCTTTGCCCATATCAGCTTTACTAGCTTAGCTTTCAGAGGCATGTTGTCAGTATGCATATCTTCAGTTAACCATTGGCTTCCTTTTTCCTCTGTTTGCTAACTCACTGTTATCTATGAGGAACTGTTCCTATGTTCACAGGGTTCTTATGACAGAGTACTGACTTTAACCTTTGATCTGCCACATGTAATTATCACATCATTTACACCTCGATTGGCTGCTATCTAATGTTGCTGGCTGGGGAGACTGAACATCCTTATTGTAGAATATTTTCCATATGGAAAAACAAAACAGGCCGAATTTCTGTAAACATACTGATAAGAGGATCTTTAACAGAAATAACAAATGTAAAGCTCATCACTTCGTGTCAATCGACAGCTGCAATGTGTTCTGATGTCACAGTATTTAAATTCCTGTCAGAAACGTATGTCTGAATTATAACCTCTATGTCAAACTAAAAAGGACTCCAGTTACTCACACGTGAAGCGTACATGGTCCAGGATGCATGCTCATCCTCCCAGTACCAAACCCACTCAGTGGTGTGGAGGAAGCTGACATCCACCAGAGAGTTTGAGGTGGAGAGTCGGCGTACTCCGTTCGCTCCTTGGGTCATCGTGTCGAAGTGCACAGACGGGTTGCTGCTACTGGAAACAGCAAAATAATCATTTAATTTCTACGATTTAATTCATTTACACCACGGAATAACATCTCCTAAAACGACAGAAACCATTGATGTCAGTGGAGAGTACCTGTACGTGTTCTTTGGGTCACAGTAGTCCTTCTCAATGGTCTCATTATTAGGCAGGGCCGTCCACTGATCATCCAGCAGCACCTGCCAGCTGTACGGCATCTTGTTGTGGGCTTTATAACATCGCTCGTCTGAGAAGACATGGTCAAGGGTTGGGCAATATGGCCAAAATAATGTTTAACTCTTTGATTTTTTCGTATCATGGTAACAGTATATATCAAGATAGAGTAATTGTTCTGTAACCATAACTGTACTTCCTCACATTGTGTTATTTCCTCACACAAGACGCCACAACTTAAAAGCTAAAGGCTCAAACCAGTCAAACCAAAACTCTTTCAAAATGAAGGTTTTAACATCTCTGGGAACAATGTTTTTGTGTGTTGCAGGTTTAAAAGTGAACATATAAATAATAGCCTTACTTTAGTCAGTGCAATATAAAGTAATACAAAAATATATAATCACAATTTCCGTTAGTACAACAAAAGAAAATTTTCATAATAATCAGTATAATTATTACTGTTTCTGATAATGCTCTATGATGTATCAATGATTACTCACCCTCATGTTTACAGTGTCCTTTGATGAAGAACATGCATATCTCAGTTTTATCTAAAGGAAACAGACAGAGGTGCGTTATAAAGCCGTTCCATTTCACACAGCTCTTTCAAAAACACTCAATGAAAGCGGGCGTAGTTTACCTCTGACAGGCCTCGGTCTTCTTCTGGCTCCATCCTCACTGTTTGCGTCGTCGTTGACTGACTCAGGGTCAGCAGTAGCCCGGCTCCTGTTCAGCGGTTGATGGTCGCCTCTCCCTCGGACAGCGGCTGAGGTTTTATTCAGATTTGGCTTTCTGCTCTTTCCATCGTCGCTGCTGGCATCGGTGTCGTTGGCAGCAGCAGAGACGTACGGGGAGGTAGGTCTCCGATCTTCGCTCAGGCCATCTTCGGTGTACAGATCTAAGATTTCAAAGTCAGCCAAGACTTCATCAGTGGAACGGGTTGGCTGGTTGCCTTGATTTCCTCTGTTGCCCCGGTTGCCCATGTTTCCTCTGTTGCCTCGGTTGCCCATGTTGCCTCGGTTGCCTGAGTTGCCCCGGAAACCAGCTCTCCCTCTCCCTCTTTGCCTCTCTCTCTGTGGTTGAATCAGACCATCGGAGCCTCTGGCATCAGGGTCGCCCTGTCTGTCGGCGTACTTCAGAGCCAGCAGGTTGGCATAGGCAGACATCAACGAGGGAAAGAGTTGGTCCGGCACGCCTCTGTCAGACAGGCTCTTTTGTGGCTGTGGAGCGTTAAAATCATGGTTCTTGATGCAGCTGCAGACGCTGTTCAGGTACTTCTCGCAGATGTGCAATCTTGTGCAATTATCGCCCTCTTGACACAGGCCCAGCGGCCCACCACCTTTGTTGTAATTATGACATATCTGGTGTAAGGAGGAAAGGTTGCATGATTACAAACATGGTTACAAACATGCAAAGAAAAAGGAAAAATGCTGTAAAACAATAACAATACATTTAATATTAAGGATCAAATGTAAGTCTGTAGAAAGCTGATCCAGAATTAGCTTGATGTTAGGGTTGAACCTGATTCTGTTCCTTTTTATTCAAATCAGATTTGGCCTTTCATTATGAATAATTTACAATTTGTTATTTTCTTTTTTCAGCTCAGTGGTCAGTTGGCGTGGATTCCTCCACGATGCTGATTTTCCCCGGCCATTGCATTTCCTAATGCAGCGGTGGAAGATGGGCTTGGGAGGGCCGGGTGGGGGCGGGGTTATAACAGCCTTTCTCTGGACTTTGTCCCTTCCTGGGACTGTGGACTTATTGCTCGCTGCGCCCTCCCCCTTGTTGGGAGGGGCTTGTGTTGTGAATTATTTTAGCGAACACTCCCTCTGCTTGATACTAAACATAAAGCAGTGTATACTGACTTGTTTTGTTTTTTTTAAATGGATGATTCGACTCATGAACCTTTGCGAAGGTGCAGACAGACTAAAGTTAGGGACAATTTCAATGTTGGCACTACATCTTGGGACCTGTTGATCAGTGTTACAAATAACATTTTTTCCACACCTGGCTGGACAAACATTCTGAATCAAAAACAATCTGATCTGAGAAACGTCTCTGGATGAATCTTCTGAATGAAGTCAGACGTACCCAGGGGCGGACTGGGACTGAAAATCAGCCCTGGACTCTGACCCAGCCCACACCAATTGTTAGAGCACGCTCGTGAACTGCCAAGGGGGGGGGGGGAGCCTCGCTGCGGGGAAACTGTGGACCTCTGTCGCCTGTCAGCGCAACTCAAATGATGACGTTTAAAAAACAAAATGGGAGGTGCCGGCCGTCAGCGAGCCGTTTGCGGCCCGCTGACGGCCGGCCGTTCTGTGATTGTCCAGAATTCACAGATGGCCAGTCCGCCCCTGGACGTACCTGAGGCAGGAGCCTGGTGTCGCTCTGCAGCAGCAGGGTGCACAGCTCACTCCGGCTCAGGCTCTCCAGACCATGCTCAGTCAGCTTCGCTGCATTGTGGAAAGAGTCCAGGCAATGGGAGAATCTGCATCCAGTCCTGTCATCAAAAAACACAATACACCTTTCAGTTACATTATTTGTTTAAATATTAAATATAGATTTGTTATGGAAAATAATAAAAATGTAACAACAATGCATTTAATTAGACCAAAAGGACATATTATTGTTGCATTGTCTGACTAGTGCAGAAGGGTCAGAGTTCACATTAAATTGACATTATATCCACTATCTGACAAAATATCACCTGTTTTTCTACAGCCATTTTTGCCGGCGTATTTTCCTTTATGAATCTACTTGTGATAGTCGGACATGACAACCTGTGCAGCCCATGTATTGATTCCATCCGATAGCTGCTATAATACAAAACAACAGGAAAACGTCTGCCTGCTCTTCCCAATGATCAATAACAGCAAACGGATGGTTGGTGGTGGCGCAGTCCATAGGGACTTGGCTTGGGAACCGGAAGGTCACCGGTTCAAGTCCCCGAAAGACCTGGGTTGCGGTCGAATAGTCCATTTAGCTTAGGAACCTTCCTAACGGAGTGAAATGACCCGGAAGTCCCTCAGTGGCAGCCATGATAAGTGCCGTTCGAATTCTCTAAATTAAAAGGAAAGGAGGTTTCAAACTTCCTTTATAACCTCCTTTAGCTTAGGAACCACTGGACCTCCCTAACCTAAAAGGAGAGGAGAAAATGCTGCCCCACAATGCCTTGCGGCCGCGGCATTTGCCGTCACACAACAGTCGGCCGTTCACGGAAACAATCGATTATGACCGAGAAATGATATCATGAAAGTTACGGTGCTTATTAAGCATTTTAAAAGTGGTAAGTTGCCAAAGTGCTTTGTTTTGAACGTTCATCAGTATTATAATCAAAAAGAGAAATATGAACGTTAGTTTTGACTGAAATGATCAAATAAAGTCAACATTTCACAGTCTTTACTGAGCTGTGTGGGGTTTGTTCAACTTTTAAAAGATGTTTGAATGGTGATATACACAGTGATAGATGTTAAGGACTAACGTTTATAATAAATACATTTGTATTGATTTTAACATCTTTTCATACAATCATACGTATTGGGATCATTTGTATTAATGTGGACCGGAGGGAGAGGGAGACGAGCATAAGTTTCACTTTCCTTTTTTATTTCAATTCCAACTTTGGTCATGAAGAATATGTTTCTCTGTTGTCCCCGTTCATAAAGCATAAAACAACAGCATCAGAGCACGGTGCAGAGTCTCTAGATGAGTTTACAGTAGTCCCTCGTTCTTATTAAACATCCATGTTGTAGTCCGCTGTATAGAAAACTGTAGTTTCCATAGTTTCCCCACAGCAGCAGACGCACATTTATGACCTCTGCTGGCGCATCATAAACACGTCGGATAGTGAAAGTGCAGTCGGATTCTCTAAAGTACCGCAGTCTCTTCTCCTAAGTCCTTTTGAATTCTCCTATCCACTATCCCTTAACCCCATGACGTTTCACTCAGAGGTCAAGGGATAGACGATAGGGTTAGAATTTAGGAGCTGTTTTTTTGGAGTATTCGACCGCAACCCAAGTGCTACAAGAGGTGTCCCTGAGCAAGGCACTGTTCCCTACACTGCTCCCTGGGCGCCGTACATAATGGCAGCCCACTACAACTACCACTAGGATGGGTAAAATGCAGAATGTAAATTTCCCCTCTGTGGGACGATTAAGGGTATATCAAATAATAAAATTAAAAAATGGTCATTAAAGTAAGTTAAATATAAACAGAATCACAAGGCCTGGTTAGTGTTGCCTTACTTTATAAAGTGTGTTTTTTTTCTAAGTGTGTGGTCGCGTTCTAGTTTTATTTGCCGTACTCGCCATTAACTGTTATTGCTCAGGTTAATCTCGCCCCCCTCCAACGTAAGCGCGAAGTATTGGTTCTTGCCGGGCAGCCGAGTGGGGCCAGCTAAGAACCGGTTTTCGGTGCTTAGAGCCGGCTCCGCTGCGGTGGAAACAGGAAAAATCAGACCTAAATCGGGCTCTAGCCCGGAACCGGCCCTGGAACAGTCTCTCCAATGACCAACGAACAGAACAAAAAAAGGACCATGGGATTTCGTTTTTATTCTTTTAAACTAACAGCAAGAGATGCTGAATGTGTTGATGTCAGCCGTCTGCTGAACTACTGTAACAAAAACCACTACTCTGGGAATAAGATTTATAACAGGAAATATCGCGGTATACGTACATATTCATGTTTCTGTTCAGAGCTTCTCTTGGTAAGGGCTATTATATATATATCACGCATACTTTATTCATTTCGGACAGATGACCCGGAAATGCTGATATTGATGGCCCCAGAATCAGGGGCGTCGTAGTGGGGGGACAAGTGGGACTGACTACCCAGGGCCCAGATGGGGGGAGGGCCCTTGAAGGGCATGGAATTAGAAGTTTTTTTTTTTTTGCAATTTTTTTGTAGTAGATAGTGTCATAACTAAAATTAAACTAGCTCAATAAAATCGGTTGACTGACTGAATTTTGTATCCAAAAACAAATGGTGAAAGCTGTGTGGGGCCCCTCTCACCCCTCACAAAAGGAGGAAAATTGTTTATTCTTCCCACGCATGATATTCGTCTCATTATCATTAAGCACGGCTTCCCAGCCGCTGCGTCTCAGTGGCTCTCGGCTCTGTCACATGAGCTCAGGAGGGAAAACAACATTCTGGTTTCGGCTTTTAGCACATTTTACAACTTTTAGGATTTAATTATATAAATAAGGGCTATTCAAGTGTCCGTACTGGAAAGTTGATTTACCTCAAAAAACATAAGATTTACGGACGTCTTTTTCCCAATGTAGTTCAATGAGAAAAAGTATTTTTGGGCCCCATGGCATGTAATTCCACCGTTTGGCCACTACGAACATTTGCTTCAGCGACTGGCACACTTCCTGAGGGGCTTGCTCTGATAATTCAAAGAAGAAGCTTGTCAGCTAATGATTTTGCTAACAAGAAGACCCGTCACTGGGCATTTACTGGGGAATGAACTACAATATCATGACTGTCAGCATCAGTTCCATAACATACATTCAAGTTTGAAGTAAGATATTCTTCATATTTGTTCAATAACTTCAAGATCAATCATATTATCCAAAGCATAACTTGTAAAGTTTTTTCAGCTTTCTAAAGTTTTAATTATTGCTTTTTTGCCTATATGCTTTCTGATTTTTTGTGTGTTATTGTTTATGCAAATAAACATGACTAGTGAAGTCTTGTTGAGTTGTCTTTTATTATGCAGTATAGTAAGCACTTTCTCAATGTAGTGGTTAGAAACTAAGATGGTGTTTAGTTTTGTCTTATACCATGGGAATGATAAATACTTAAATAAACATGGATAATGTTCCCTTAAGCATGATACTCCAAGCAAACCTCATTTAACCATAGTCAAGTAATTGTAAGCTACAGTATGTTGAGGAAAGAGGGTCAACATGTGCACAGATTATTATTACCACTATTATTACTACTTATACTTTAGTTCTACTTTAGTTCATTAGTGACTACCCTAATAACCACTTCAGATCAATGTATACAGTTGTTGGCTCAATCATTTGTAAATACATTTCATAAGATGCATGAGAGACATGGATCAAGAGAGGAAGGGAGCCCACAGAGACAGTTTACGTATACAGTAAGGCCCGGAGTTTTGTGCTACGCCCCTGCCCAGAATGCACAGCGCTTCCCATTCCCTATAGATTGCCAATACATCTAAACACTTGATCTTTAATGCTACTTTATTAAAGTATAGATAAGCTGCAATTATTGCTCTTTAGAAGTGCTGGAACATGGATTTGGTTGCCTCAGAGAATAGCTAGCTAGCTTATTCCCCCCTGAAAAAACTTGAGCTAAACTAAACTGCAAAAGGAATTAGCTAGGCACCATATTTAGCTTGTAGACATATCATTAACCTTATAAACTATTTTCACAAAATCTCAGATAAGACTTAAGTTTCAGTATTCTAACTTGATATCAATTCACTATTCTTGAATAAAGGGAAGAAGGGGGGAAAAAAGCGAAGAGTGCCTGAACGCACCACGCCTTTAAAAACAGGTAATTAAATTATGCGAACACATCACATTAATAATAACCCTGAACAACCCTGTGATCGTTTCTCTGTTAGTTGAATCGCTTTAACAACACTGGGAAATAATGTTATTTAGGAAATCAACAATTAAAAACACTGAGACATGTCTGTGGGGGTGCAGGGCAGGCCTCTCCAAGTGTCTGCCCAGCAGTCATATGACACACCCGGCCGACTGTGTTTAGATAATATAAGATAAGATAAGATAGTACTTTATTGATCCCAAATTGGGAAATTGTTTTTGTTACAGCAGCATAATAGACAAGGCATTTTACAATAAAACAAAACTACAAAATAAACAAGAATAGAAAGAAAAATAAAATAAAATAGAAAATATACATGTTGAAATAGAAAATATACATGCAGATATTATATATACAAATATATATATATATTCAAAATATATGACATATGGAATATGGAGTATTAAATATTGAACATGTATGAGTAAAATGTACAACGTGGTTTTATTTCTAGAGAAACTATGGAGCAGAGAGTTCTCTTCCAGCCAGAGGTGATTTATTGTACAGTGTTATTGCAGTGGGCAGGAATGTTTTCCAGTATTTACCTCGTGCGGGTGAACGGACAGGATCCGGTAAGGAGGAACTTTTTACACAGGTGCAGCCCAGTGCACGCGCCCGGACAGTCCTTCATGAGGCACAGCCTCAGCCAGGTCCGCGCCACCACCTTCGACTGACCGAACGGACTACAGAAGGCGAACTTCTCTCGGTTAGTGAAGATGTCAGCCGTAGCGTCGCCTGAGCCGAGGTTACACAGCAGCTCCTCAGTGTTCACTGATCCCTGATTAGCGCAGATAAACTTTAATATTTCTAACTCCAGCTCCATTATTGTTCACCCTCTTCCTGTTGTCCTGCTCCCCAGCTGAACCAGACCAACCAGACAGCAACTGCAGCTCTGAGCAGCTGCTGCGTTCACTGCAGTAGGAAGGCTCGGTATCATTTCTGATGATTGGAAACCGAAACTTAAAGGGGACCTATCATGCAAAATGCACTTTTGTACGTCTTTTATACATGAATATGTGTCCCCGGTGTTCCAGGGAACTCACCAAGTGTCAGAAAACACAACCCTCTCTATTTTCCTCCATACCCAAATCTCTAAAAAAGGGGCTGCAACGGATCTGATAAAAACTGATCCAGATTCGAACACTGTCCTGACGTCAGGACGGTGGCGCTACGGCTATTGGGCCAACTCTCCACCTATCAGGGGAATGTGGGGTTGGGCTCGAAAGCGCTGGAGACGCTGTGGTACATATGCCAGGCCTGTAAGTGGCGCTGTAGTCTGCCACAAAAGCAGCGAAGAAGACTTCCCGCCCATAGTTACCATGGTTACCCTTCTGTTTATTCTCCGCTGTGGCTTTTTTTCTCCCTCCCCGAGGCAAGCGTTTTCTCCCGCTGCTTTAATTCAATGCAATCCCTCCCCGTCGAGGCAAGCACTGTAATTCTCTACGGTTAGTCCACCAGCAGATGACAAACACCCACCTCTCCGTCTCTTCCAAGGAACGAGGGGACCGTGCAGCAGAGTTTCAGTTTCAGTTTCTTTCGCCGGTCAAGATGTCCGTTAAAGTTTAAATCTTCCGGACAAAATTAGAAAAGTGCCGGTCAAAGGTCTTCTTTGTTATTTATTGAGCTTTAAAACAAATGAATAACGACTCTATATAATAAAACAGGAGGACGGAGATCTCTTTTTCTCCCCCTCTTCTGACAGCCCAGCAGCTGATCAGAGCACGGCTCACCTCTCCTGCAGGGGGGCGTGGTCAGCAGAATCAGACCCGTAGACAGCAAACAGCACATAGAGTGAAATGAGGCATGGCTAAAATGCATGATCTGTTTGGTATTTTGAAAACAGAAACGTATAAATATACCTTATATAGGTATGGCCCTACAATATATAATTTAAATATAGCATGATAGGTCCACTTTAACTATTTTCAGCCAGCAGGAATGAATGATGTAATGCTGCCCTCCTCCTCTGGAGGGTGTTGAAGGGTTATATGACCACATGCCATGCTGTTTTCATATCAGTCAGATTCATATGACACAGGGCATTTCCCTCTGCTTCGTGGTGGACCTGTCCTATATTAAACTTGTTGGACATATGTATATTCATCTTGATCTCCTAGCCTTAACAGTAAAGATGTTGATAAGAATGCATTAAAACATATAGTTAATGTTTTGTCAAGGACTCAATCCTATCAAATGTAATTAAAATAAGAAATGAAATAAGAATGAAACTGAAATGACACTGCAAAATCATAGTGCCTTACCAAATTATTGTGCTGCAGTATTTAAAAAAAGAAAGAAACATCTGTATCAAGGCCATAACCTAAAGTATTTGTCTGTTTGCATCTCACAATTTATTTATCAAAATGAGTTATCGCTGCAATAAACAGTATTTAATTTAATTTCACTTTACAATACTTAATTTTACATTCTGTTCTGTATGTCTTATTCTATTTACATGTATATAGACTCTTGCATTTACTTAGTCACTTACAACATTCTCTGCATTATTTGGCTTATTGTCATTATTTATTCTTATGACATGTATATAGTTTACTTAATCTGCATTACTTGCACATTGATCTGCAACATAATCTGCACTATTTGATCACTGTTTCTTCTTGCACTTGTTTTATGTCTTGTATAACTATGTTGCATTGTTGGAGGAGCTCGGGACTTAAGATTCTCATTGCCATTTCTTCAATGTAGCTGCTGTGCATATTACATGAAAGCCTTTGAATAAAAAATGATATCAATGGTTTTCAGCATTTCTTTCTGATTGTTCCAGTTGTTTGAGTGGAAATGACTTAATTGTGCAGCAGTTAATCCATTTAAAGCAGTGTCAATAGATGTTTGGCCACTGGAGGGCAGCGCAACATGCTTTAAATACAACGGTTGAACTTCATCAACCTGACCTACTAAATGTTATAACTCTTAAATAATCACATGAACTTATTTACAGAAGATAAAGAACAACTTAAAAATATATTTGAAGTTGTGTTCCTGGCTAGCCAATGAATGTCATTCTGATTAACCTCTCTGTTTTTTCTTCTTCTGGTGTGTTCATGCACTACATGACGGCCTGTAAGGATGATAAAACAAAGTGGTTTCTTCTTTTTCAGTCTCTTTTGCAAACTCTTAACTCAGAGGCACTAATTGTGGAGCAGTGAATTGAAACAAAAAATGTTGATCAATTTTTATCATTTTGTTTTTGTGAAGATTAAATGTGGTATGCTTTACAGTAAGATAAGATAAGACACAATGATCAGCGAGGTCAAATTACTGTGTCTGACAATGGAGTGTTGTGGCTGTAAGGCGAGTAAATATGTGTTTTTGTTTTGTACGTTAATCAAGTATAAGCTACCAATTGTCCTAATCCCTGTTGATTTTATTTAATATATATTTACTTAAATGCATGTGTGTTACAGCGGAAAAGGGCCAAAAATGATGGTGTCCATGTTTCCATCACAGCCAATAAATACGTGTGATTACTGCAGACTAATTTCTTGTTAAAATGATGACCATAACCATTCTCAGAAAAGACTAAAGAGAGATATGAATGCTTTGGGTAGGTAATAGGCATGATAGGAGCTCACCCTTTAGCTCTGTTTGAGCACCTCTATTCACAGTCATTTAATACATCGTTATTATAAAAGTATTTAGTGCAGTTTCCATTCAGATAGTGTATAGGGTGATGCGGTGATGATGTATTTTTGAAGGCCGACACAGAAGTTAGCTCGCAAGGGCTCCCTCTGCAAAAAAGCAATGGGATTTCCTCATTGGATTTCGGTATATATTTAGTGTGAATGCTGTGCCACAGCATTCCACTATAGTTCTTCGATTTCTTTATTCTTCCCCTTATTATTTCAGCCAATACTTTGGCACTCCATAACTTCAGCTTATTTTCAGCTACAGAAACCATTCAAATATTAAACTATTCAGCCTTTTCAGGAATCGATGGGAAACCTTCAACTTTTAAAAAAATATTTTATACTTTTTGAAATATTCAGCTTTTTAAACTCTTTTTTTAACATGGAAGTCAATGGGAGGAGCCTTCAAATCCTCTTTTCCTACACCTTACACCAAATGCTTCTCCTTCCACATACTTTCAGCTAGACACTTCATTCCAACTTTAAAATGATCACAAGACCTGTTATTGTTGTTATTCAGATTCTTCATATCATTTACACTTTTTGAGATATTTAACTTAGTTTGGAGCTTGGTAGAGAGGCCTTTTTCAGATTTTAACATTAGTGTGGATGGAGGAGCTTGTTAAGGCCCTGACACACCAGGCAGTCACCAGAGAACTCGCCGACACCGACGCCGACGCCGACTGTTGCGTCGGCGAGTTCTCCTGCGTCTTGGCCATGTGTCGCACTGGAACCAAGCCCCCAGGAAGTGCGCCGGACTCAGATGAAAATATTCGTGGTGGCCAAACGGCGGTACTACACTTCCTTTTGGTTGCCAGGCCCGGAAACACTTTTTCCCATTGACTTACATGGGGAAAGAGTGGTCTGTAAATCGTTGGATAATGTTTTTTAAATTAAATAAACTACCCAGTATGAACACTTGTATAGCCCTTATTAAAAACATTCGCTCCTCAAGTTGTAAAAATGTGCTAATAACGTTATTCTGTGAGTTATTTCCCTCTGAATTAAGAACGCGCATCTAACCCACGGGACCGCGCCGCCCGGCACGTTCATGTTACGTGTTCAGCACTTTATACAGTCTATGGTTCAGCACTACATGCGTTTATCTTTACCCATGGATGCACAATAAGAACGGACCCATATCGCCTTACTGCCAGCCCACGGAGCTGTAATAATGGATATATTGTACATGTTTGCTGTAATTCATCATTTGTAAAATATTATACTACATGGGCTGTATGATTAAATCTTGTACCGTAAATGTTGTATTAAATAAAGTTAATATTACCGACGTAGATTAACGTCCCTGTAGCTTCTTATTGCACTAAGAAGCTTATTGCACTGTATATATATATATATATATATATATATATACATATATACATGTATATATATATATATGTGTATATATGTATATGTATATATATGTATATGTATATATATGTATGTATATGTATATATATGTATATATATGTATATATATATATATACATATGTATATATATACATATATATACGGTGCAATAATTCTTTCATGCTAAATGAAGCTCTGTTGCTTGGATATCACTAGATCCTGTTACAGCGTAATATAAAAGTACATAACGATTGATGTGTAAATTAGCATAATTACTAGCTAACCGCTAGCTGCTAACTGCCGCCTCGTTAATATCAAATCTATCATAATAATAATAACAATTACCATGCTGTCATGAACGTGCGGTGCTGTTACGTGTACGCAAATTGACGTGCTTGATGTGAACGAGCATTTTGGGGGGCATGGTTAAAGTTGCGCATGCGCTATGAGCGCACATACGGGTACTTCTCAGGCATGCCGGGTAATCTGTGACGTTTCGCTCTCTCAAAAGTTGGGCCATTTTATCATCATGCGCGAATGAGCAACTCTCATAGGAATGAATGAGGCCCCGCCTCCCACGCTGTATCCAGTTCTTATTATACATCCATGACTGGAACACACCGCAAAGACTTCAGCCGAGCACGTACGAACTGCGCATGCGTGAGTGACAATAACTCTCCTTACCAGCAGGCGGCGGTAGTGTGTATTCGTCATTCAAAATAGGCAACAACCGGAAGACAGAGAGAAGTACACTTTAGACAAACTGCTCCCATCTCCACATTTTACACACAAAACCAAAAAAACAAACATATTGGTTCATTGGGGTTCCCTGATGCTCACGGTCTGGTATTTTTTTTATAGGAGCCATAGTTTTTGAACAGGTGGCAAAATTGTCATATATAATCCTC